ATACATGAGCAGGGATTTGTGAAGTAGAAAAATCACTTTGGGCTTCTTTCCCAGTAACCCAGAGGGGTTTTTGAATGGGGGGTGGGGTGACAATGAATGCAGTTTTATTTCCCAGATGCCCAGACCTTGCAATTGGGAAGTGATCTCTGGTAGTGTGTTTCAGACATATCCCCAGATAATGAAAACAAAACACAGATTTCTTGAAGGACTCTCTGGTTTGGCTGCTACTTGAATTTTTCTGCAAGAACTTTCAAAACCAGGTATTTTTCTCCCAGCAATGTTCCCTCATCCTGGCTTAGACATGGGAAAATATCATAAACCAACAAATAGAAATATATATCTGCTCAGGACTTTGTCAACTGTGACTCAAAAATTATTGGAGCTGCTGAGATCTTAATTTCTGTGATGGTACATTCTTTGTGAGGTGAAACTCACTGAAATCAATTTCTGGTCACCTTTTTGCCCAAATGGAAGCATGCAAGCTGTTGCTGGATCAAAAGGTGAGAACAGCCCTGTGCCCCACACACCTGATTGCACAGGCAATGATTTGCTTAGGAGCTGATACGTTTACTGTACATTTATTTCAGTATCATTTATTGGGGGAAATCCCCAGTATCATTTATTGGGGAAAATTTCCAGTATCTCCCCCATTGCTGAACACACACACATTTCCATGTCCCATTCCTCAGCCCATCCAGACAGATGAGAACTGCATCTGCCAGGGGCTGGGCAGACCAGCCCTGCTAACCCAGAAATTTGGAGTGCTCAGCCTGGCACACACGCAGCAAAAAGGCACCTTGGATAGCACATGCTGCAGCCGGACATTGTCTCTTTTTTGGCCAAAACAGAAAGGCAAAAAGGCACCTTGGATAGCACATGCTGCAGTTGGACATTGTCTCTTTTTTGGCCAAAACAGAAAGGCTCCTAAGCAGAGGTATTTTGAGCATTCATAGTTCACTGAGTTATGATTTGGAAGAGCATCAGCCATGCAGTGTTATCCAGTACATCCCCTGTTTTCCTCCTTCTGCTTCATACATTTTCACTCCTCTTTAGATTTCTGGGCAAATGCTGTGTCTTGTGATGACATGGAGGAACAAGGCCTTTAAGTCTTTATTAATTGCTACCACTGTAGTTTTAAAAGGAGCTATTGAGGAAATCCTCAGTTTTGTTACCATAGGAATGAAGCTGTAGGATTCAGTGAAAGAACAATTTAAACAGCAGTGTTTAAGTGATTCACTTCAACTTTAATTCTCTGCTCCATCCAAGCTCCTCTTGGCTGTAAAGAACGACTCTAAAAGCTGTTTTCCCTCCTCAGTGCTGCTTGACTCCAGCCCAAATTAGGAGGTACAGCCCTGTTATCTGTAGCAGGTCTTAGCAATGTCCCTTCCCACCCACAGAGCACTTCCTCCTCTTCCCCAGTGAAGCAGCTGCAAACTGCTCCTTGGCTCAGGCAGGGCTCCTCATCTGGCTTTTTTCAGCTGTTTTTAAAACAATGTTTATGCAGCTTTTATACAGTAAGAACAGGGTGAATGGAGGAGTAATCTAGTGCACTGTATGAGAGCAGGTTGTACCTGGTGAGTTTGGCCATTACTCAGTGTAACTCTGGTCTGGGGGAACTCCTGTGTGTGCTGGTTTGCTCTTCTTTTTCTATCTGAAAGGTTTAGGTCTGCATTAAGTTAAAAGGCAAAACAGGACATGTGAGTTGATTAGCTATTCTGCTGGTCTTCTCCAGCAGGCAGGAGGAGACAAGGCAAGGAAGGAGAGCAGTGAAAAGCTGACACTCACATTAACGATTGCCTCCTGTTTGTTTTTTAAACCTTTGAATTGTGGAAACCTGATAAGCAGCAAGAAAGTGGGAAAGAAAGAAAGAAATGTTTTGTTTTCCCTGGATTTAACTCCTTTGATAGATCTCAAAATTTGAGATATCTCAAAATTTATTCACTGAATAGGGATAGCATCTCTATCGAAAGAGATCTCCCTTTTGATAAGAGATGCTATCCCTATTTAGTGTATATTTTGAGATATCTCTTCTGATAGAAATGCTATCATTATTCAGTGAGTATATTTGGAGATAGCATCTCTATCAAAAGAGATATGACTATTCAGTGAGTATATCTGGACATATCTCTTTTGATAGAGATGTTATTACTATTCAGTGAGTATATTTGGAGATATCTCTTTTGATAGAGATGCTATCACTGTTCAGATTTGTGAGCAGTGTTCTGGCTTCCCACCTCACATTTTGGAGAGTCTTGGGAGGGATTGCTTTGTACAACAGGGAGTCTTTCACCCTTAAAACAGATGCCTGGCATTAGCAATGAGGCTGGGATGTTCCTCAGCTCTCAGTAATGGTAACAGGTCCAGCAACTTCTGTAGTGCCCGAGGGACAGCTCTGGCTCTCCACACACTGTCCTGGAGCACAGCACTTCTTTCTCCAAAGCTGCTGTGACTCACTGACCCAAGCTCTGGTCAGGCAGTGGGAGAGGAGCCTCTCCAGGACATTGCAGAGCGTGCCTGGAACTCCACAGACCCTGTCAGGTGCTTCAGCCACTTACAGATTAAGACCTAATGCCTGGCCCTTCCTCAGCAATGAGGATGAGCCAGGAAAGCAAGCCAGTGACCATATTTTGGCATGACTTTCTGGCAATTGCAGTGGCCCTATTTATCACCCAAAGTCTCCTTTTCATGGCATGTGTGCTCCAGCATTCTGCCTTGTGCTCTTGCTTCTGGAGTCTGGCTTATCTTCCAGCTATCTGGCCAAGTCTGCTCCAGCAAGCTCTGACCACAGGGTCCTGTCCTCCAAACTGACCACAGGGACAGGGCATGGTGTGGTAACACCAGAAAACACATTACTGACACTATTCTAGCAGGGTGCTGCCCACCAGAGCCAGCTGTCTGCGGGCTGCTCTGTGCCCAGGTCTGTTCCTGGCAAAGGTGCAACAAACAGCACTTGCACAGCTCCCACTGTTGTTGCTGTTGGCTACAGGCAAATAGGTATTTTCAGACACCACCCCCCTCACACACACACACACAAACACACACACACATTTATTTCTCTGCAGTTGGCCAAGCTGTTGAAACTGGATCCTTTTATGGGAATGTACAAGAGGGGTTTTCATAAGCAAGCTGGAGATTCTGGAAGGCACAGTTCAGGCTCTGTTCAGGTAGCTGATAGAGCTCTATGGCCCTTCCACCCCATTAAATGCACTCTGTTGTGCTGCCCACTTATTTCTGCCTTCGTTTCCACACAGACTGGCAAATATGGTCACAGTCAAAAGGGGGGACCTCATTCATATTTTATGTAATATTTCCTTGCATCTCAAAGGGAAAAAAATGAGAGAGGAGAAGACTTTGAAGGACTAGGATGTTTTTATTGGCTTTCTATTTCTTCTGTCTCCCACCCATTTCCAGGACTACAGGAAAACATTTTTACTATTTACACTATCCTAATATATACTGAAATCTACAAAAGGGATACAATAGGTAAAAAAGGCTTTTGTTGATCCTGTGCTGGTGTAGCATTTTAACAGGGCACTTTAAAGGTAGTTTTGTATTTTTTAAATATAAGCTCTCAAACTATTAAGAATACCAGGGAGGGGGAACTCTTTTAGTCTTTGTTTTCCTGCAAATATTTCAATGTTCCCTTGCATTATTTTGAATGCAGCCAAAAGATTGGAAAACCACAGAAACCATCAACTGAATAAGATAAACCAAAAGGGGAACCACTGAAGTTGCGAAACTTGGGTAGGACAGTGAAATATGAATACAAAAGAGGGAATGGGGTAAGAGCAGCAGGGGAAAAGGAAGAGTTTAAACTTATCCCAGTATATTATCAGCATTCCCTGGGGCATTCTATTCAAAAAGGTGGAATTTAATCTGCATTGCCTTTGAATAAGCAGTATAATCTCTAAGAACTTCTGCCTCACATATGCCTTTTGTCCTGATAGCTGACAGAACTACTTCGCTGATAGTGTTCTGCTAAAATACCTTCAGGGTAAATGTGCTTTTATAAACAACCCATTCCCAAGTTACTGAAACTGTAATGCTTTTATAGGACAGAACCTTGGCATGTGTAACATAAAAGTCACTTTGGGGAACTGGAGCTGGTTGATGGCAGCTGAGTCTGGCTTAATGCTCTTACCAGGACATCCTATCTCCTGCCTTCTCTTGTGCACATTTTTTTTTTCTAAAAGAAACAGTGTCTTACAGTTCCCAAAGTGCCACAGGAGCGTGATTAGGCTCAGTCTCCTCATTTCCTCATCCCTGTGGTGCAAGGACTTGTTAGAGTGGTCGTGGAGCTGTCAGGTTAATGCAACACCCCTGAAGTACCCGAGAGAGATTGCAAGCCTCACACTCTGCTCCCCATCTCACCAGAGGAAAGGCTGTCTGCACAAATGGATTTTTAACATTTATGCCTCCCCCTTGTGTCTCTACCACATGAAATCGACAGACTATGTTTATTTCTCAAAAGATCCCTGCAAATGCAAACTTTACACATGATGCTGTCTCAGATTGCTGGTAAACATGTAAATCCAGGAGAGCATTGAGAACAAAACTTCTTTGAGTCGCTGAGTCTAAAATCTCCTGTGGAAACCAGCCAGAATTACAACTGTGACAGAAGTCATCTAATATTTAATAGAGGATAGGAAGCATAATACCCCATGACTTCATCAAGCACAAGCTAAGAAGAGACAAATTGAATATTACTAACTCTGTTCCACTGCAGAAGAATGATGTTTCCACTTACTCCATGAGAAGTGGGTTTGATTTGGGAAGTTTGTTTTGGTGTTGTTGAGCTTTTTCTTTAAAAGTGATAAAAATACTTATATTGAGTAGAACCTGGAGAAAATAGCTCCAAAGAAGGGAGAATTCCTGGCCTGATCCCAACCTCCCTGACAAGAAGGTCAGGGATGTCCCTTTTTATGAAGAGTTTATCAGCACAGAGGGAGCAATAAGTTATCCAAAGATAAGCAGAAGAAAAAATCAGAAGTCAAACGTACCTGACTTGCCCACGCCAGCCCGACCAAAGATCGCCAGCTTCACCTCTGCACTCTTGGCCATGCTGGAAGGAAGGCAGTGGTGGCAAACTCCCTCAATTTCCAAAAGTGAAGCACAAGAACTGTTCCCAGCTCCTGGCTTCAGCTTCACCGTGTCATTGTGACGTCAATGCAGAGCCTGGGGAAGAGCAGCACAAGGATGGAGCTGCAAGGAGCCAGGCTCTCCCCTTCCCCTGCCCACCCCCTCCTTTTTCTTCTCCTTTTTAAATAATCGTGATAATTGATGCTGTGTTCCTGCTTTAAGCTTTGCAGCAACACCACTGACACATTTGGCACTCTTTGTGCAGAGCCTGCCTTCAGCTTTCTGGCTATTGCTTTGCTTCACACTGGCACTGTAAGACTGCAAAAGGTACTTAACAACACCAAGCACCTTGCAGGGCTCCCGATTATTTATTTCTTCCTTTCTCTTTCAGCTGAAATTGCATCTATTTACTGTATTTGAAGGCTATTCAGGGAATTATTTTTTGTAGAATATATTTAATAGCTGTGAGCTCTCACTAGCAGTGCCTGCAAATAGCTGCTCTTTCCTTGAGCCCTCCAGCTCCAAAAGGGTTTCAATTACTCAGCAGCAGTTGCCTTAAAACCTTCTAAGCACTTGTACCTTGCTCACTGCCCTAAACAAATCCATACCCAGAAAGTTCTCCAGCGCTCCTTTTTAAGCTGCCTCAGCTCATACATAAACACTCAGCAAAGCACGGGGTCAGCAGAGGGATGCCAGAGTTCCTGGTGCAGCACTTCGAGCTGGGGAATTGTCTGTGCTCGCAGTTTTGCAGCATGACCTTGATTCTGCCAACCTGGACAGTGAAACCTATAACCATACCTGTCATTGCAGAATGCTTTAACATCTTCGGTGACAACACGGCAATTGTGAAGATGGTGATCCTGAGCCCTGACTAAAACCTCAAATACTCGGTGTCCCCCTTAAAGCAGTGTAGAACTTTACGTGTGACTGCAACCAGTGACGGGTCTGCTGCTGAGCTGAAGCACCCAATTTAGCCTTGAATTCTAACAGTGGTGTAGGATGTCAGCACTCCTCACTTACAGCAAAATCAGTTTCTAACATGTTGTTTGAAAAAAAGAAAAAAAAAGGAGGAAAAAGAGACGGAAGACTTTTTCCTGTACAAAAAGGCTTGTAAAAAGAAAAAGTAAAGACATCTTACGTCGAGAACGGTCCTGATTAATCTCTGATGCCTAAATGCTCCTGATTCCTTTTGCCTGAGCGTATCAGACCGCTCTCAGCGTGCAGGGACAGTCTGAACTGTTTCAGGACGTGGCGGAACGGGGTACTCCGGGACTGGGACACCGGCTCTGCCTCCCGCTCCGCAGCTCCGCTTCCTATTTCCCCGCAGTCAGGTATCGATTCCTCACCGGCACCTCCGTCCCTCGGGGCGGGCTTTGCTCCGCACCGCTCCGGGCAGGTGCGCGGGGCGGCTCCGCGGCTGCGGCCCCGCACTCCTCATCCTCCCTTCTGCCCGCACCCACCCGCGGAGAATCCGCACTCCTCATCCTCCCCTGTGCCCGCACCCACCCGCGGAGAATCCGCACTCCTCATCCTCCCTTGTGCCCGCACCCACCCGCGGAGAATCCGCACTCTTCATCCTCCCTTGTGCCCGCACCCGTAGAGAATCCCAGCCCCGCTCCTCACCCTCCCTTGTGCCCGGCTCGGCCCGCCCGGCTCTCACCTCTCTGCTCGCAGCCCGGCTCGGCCCCGGGCGCTCCCGGCGGCAGCGGCGCGGCCGCACAATGCGGAGGGTCCGCCCGCCCCTCGGCCCGGCTGCGGCTCCGCAGCGCCCGCGGAGCTGCCGCGCCACCTGCGGGCCGACGGGGGCTGCCGGAGCCGGGAGGAGCGGTGCGGAGAAGAGCGAGAGATCCGGAGTGAGAGGGAAAAATGCGGAGAGGAGCGGGAGGGATGTGGAGAGCAGAGGGAAATATGTGGAGAAGAGCGGGAGGGATGCGGAGTGCGAGGGATGCAGAGCAGGAGGGATGCAGAGAACAGCGGGAGCGATGCGGAGAGGGAGGAAAGCACACAGAGGGCGGCCGAGGTGGCTCCGTCCCGGGAACGTAACCCGTGCCCAGCGCGGTGCCCAAAAGGAAGGGACGCAGCCCTGTAATCCAGCGGTGCCGCAGCCTTTAATTATGCGGGGCAGCTGCTGTTCGCTTGTGTGGATTGTGGGTAAGCGCTTGCCAGGGCTGTCCCGCAGTTTATTTTATTCCCTCTCTGGCTCTCTCAGTGCTGCTCGCCAGTACCGCCCTGTGCCACCCTGTCCCTCCCGTCCCGACAACAAAGTGTGACAGCAAAGTGGCAGCAGGGCTGCTGCCCCATCCGGCTGCTTTCCAGTAGCACCAACTTTCCACTCAGCTTTTCCCCCTCTCGACTTCCACACTTGGCTCATGGCAAAAGAAATTCTTATTTCAATTTGCAAATGGGCAGAACGAATCATGTAAGTGCATCAGCCTCTGCAAGATTTGTGTCAGAGCCAGGGATCAAGTTCTGAAATGATAGGACTGACAGCTCTGCCTTCCTTGTTTATTAAACTACCCAGTAATATAAAGATGCATTAGTAACAGATGTGAACCAGGGCTGGAAAGCACTTAGAGTTCAGTGGATGTTCCTCCTCTGTTTCTGTTCCAACTCAGATCTGAATGAGATACCAGATGAGTAAAAGAAAAGCTCTCCCTTCACTGTCTTCCTTCATGCAAAATTAAACGAAAGTTGGATTGGAAAAGATCTTCCATGGTCCAAGTCTTTGTACAGGAGCAAGATAAGTGTTTAGGGGGCAGGGTGGCAGTCCTGAGGAGAAATGAGAACCTCATTCCCCCTAAGAAGTGCCTGTTGGAGGCACTCAGGAGCAGATCTTAAAATACTTGTGTTGCAGATCATGGAAAGGCAAAAAAAAATTAGAAGGCAGATATAAAGCAGTAGTGTGGTTTATGCTTTACTTCTTAAAAGCAAGGGCTTTAAGCCTGCTCTCACTGCTTGGTTTGCATAATTTAGAGGGATTAGTTTTTTCCATCCTCCTAAGAGAGCAACTGATGTGTATTTTGCATCTGGGGAAATGTGTGTTGGTCTCGAGGCCTGACATTTGTTTTGTGTCTATGGAATTCACCCTGCATGGGGCTGTCAAATTAAATAGGATAACTGGCTTTTCCAAAACAGCAGATAATTTATTGGGCATTAAAATCCCAGTGGCTGTGCAGTCAGCTTGTGCTGAAGTCTGTTACTGGTGAAGAATTCAGTAAACATTAATCATGGACACAGGCAAAGATTTCAAGGGGCTGAGACCCAAGACTTGTCCAGGAGTGTTCCAGTTGCTGTTTGTTTTCTGTGTACTCACTGTGTTTCATAATGCTGATGAGGTTTGGGGTTTTTTTCGCTATCCAAAATGGATTTTGAAAGATTTAGTCTTTCATCCTGTAGATCAAGGGCCACCTTGCTTTGTCATAAGCAATGATTTTGGTTGTTGTGGCTGGCATGGTGTATTTTCTCCATGGTTTTGCAATCTGTACCAATCAAAAAATGTTACCCCGGCGCTGGTATTGAGACCAATGAGTGAAGTGCATCATGTTGCTGAAGGATGGGGGAGGTTCCTTTTCTGCCTCTCCATTTTATGAACATTTGAGAGAAGGGAAGCAGTGCTGGGGTCTGATCCCTGGTGGTCTGTGTGCTGTCAGCCTGAATTCAGCCTCATCCAGCAGAAAATCTGGAGAACACTCTTTCCCATCCATCACAGCCAAGTGTCTTAGATTTCTCCCTTCTGCCTCTTGGTGAGTTCTACATACTGTTTCACAGCTTAATTAATTTTTGAAAATAGCATTTTGGTATATTTAAAATATTATTCTTGTTTCACCAGCAGGAGGACTAATCCCAGCAGAAGAAGATAGCTGTCTAATGGGAATTACTAGGTGAAATGAGGGAAATTCACTCCTCTTGGTACACTCCTTTCTGCAGCTGTGGGGGATATATCTAGTTTAGCTCCCTGTTATCCAGACCTGACTGCACCCCTTTTAACTTAGGAAGATTCCACCAGTGCTCCACAACAAGAATTTTGGTTTGTTTACTGTCTAGCCTGTTATTAGAGCTTTGGACTGCAGTCTGAGCTTTGGGCTACCTTTCTTCATGAGAAAGATAAAGGCTGAAGAACAGATAATGAAATAGGAGTGTGAATAGCTTGAAATGCCAATGAAGCCACATGTTCCTAAGTCAAAACAGAATGCTGTTTCAGGGTTGATTAACAGAGGTCCATCCAAGCAGTTACAGCTGACAGAAGCATTTAAGAAAGACTCACAATTTCAAATACCACTAAACAATATTTTATGGGCTTAAAAAAATATATCCAGGTGCTGCCAAAGACCAGACAGTTATTTCTGCCTGGTATGGAGGTACTACTTTTTTAATGCCAAGCACTTCCACTGGCTTATTTTTTCATCCTGGATGCCACCAAAAAAGGTGTCTTTTTTTTTGTGAAAGCCAATGGCATTTGATTCCTGAAAAGTGAGAGAGAGGACTAGTGTGGCACTGCACGCCTGGGAGCTAACACATGAAGAAGATATGTCAGCAGGAAAGGACCTGAAGATGGTTTTGGTTGTTGTTTTTTTAGTGTTTTTTGTTGTTTTTTCTTTTCCTTTTTTTTTCCTTTTGAAGCTGAAAATCCCATTGTAGATGGTAGTTTTGTAGGTTTCAACAACTTCCAAAATGAGATTTGGGCACAGGGTTTGTTGAGACTCATAAGAGATGAAAAGCAAGACACAGATTTCAGAAGGTCATTTAGGAGTCTCTGAATCCTGTGGAACTGAGTGGAATTTCATTTCCTGAGCACCTCTGTGTAATTGAGCCCAAGTGCCTACAAACTGTAGAGCCGATCATGGCACAGGTGGCATGGATGAGAGAGCAGAACAATTCCTGCAGTAAGGAATTGGGACAATTCCTGCAGTAAGGAAGGGGCTGTTGAACTCAGGGCTGCTGTTGTAGAGAACAGCCCAGATCTGCCATTAGGATTGGTCTAGAACAGAGCACATCTGGTCATTTTTGCATTAAATAGCAAATCAGTGGCTTGGTTTAGTGTCACCCTTCCTTCTGCTGGGAGCTGAGATGATACTTGATAACTAGTAGGAAAACTACCAAATAAATGGCATGTTAACACTGTGCTTGCAGCTATTACTAAACGTTCACAGGGAAGGATTCATATTGTTTTCTTTATTTTCAGAGAATATCTTCCAAATGTTTTTGTGTTGGCTCTCAGCAATGTATATAAATCTTCTCAGTTACAGTTATCTAGCACAGTGAAAAATATTGCAACTTTGTCATTAAATTATGGATAAACTTTGCTGTTAGTTTGGCTTGTAGTCAATGTGAAATATTGCTGGTTTAAATTAATATTGCATTTTCTCATATTTTCCCTGGTAGCTTATGAAATGCTGATTTTACAGTTATGGGTTTTCTTGAGTGTAAGCTAAGCATTTATAACTTCTTTTTCTCTCCACTTTCAATATGTAGAAGAAAAATCTAATATGCAGTGCAGGCTTTATTCCTTAGAAGTGTTTATTTCTAATGGAATAAATAAGCCACAATCCTTCAAGTATTTGGACAAGCTTAATCGAGTGACCAGAGGAGGTACAGCTTCCCCATCAGTTCCACGTGAAGGTGCTCTGTGGAGCTGCCTGCAGAACCCAGGCTTCAACATTTTGTCCCTTTTGGCTCTGTGAGGTGCCCAAACAGGGCACAGGAGATGGACATGGGGTGCTCCTGACAGCCCAATGTGGATCTCACGCATGCAAAAGCCTGTGTCCTAATGCAGACCTTCTGTCCCAGCAGGCATTTGGCACATTTGTGCAAGGAAAGAAACACACAGCTCGGGTTTCTTGCAGTAACAAGATTTTTATCAGGTATATTTAACAGTGATGCATGAGCAGAACTGAGAGGCACAGCCCAGTAGCAGCTACTGCCAAGTAGAGGAGAGAGGCATCAGCTCATGTTTTATAACACATGGCCAGCAGATACACCTTGTATTGCCTGAGCTAAAATTCTGCTAACCTTTGTTTCTTCTCACCATTGAACAGGTTGTGTGCTGAGAGTCTGTCTTTAAAAATGGGCAAGCTGAGAATCCACACTCATGGCCAGGCAGCTGTGACAGCTCTGATCCCATCACAGCTGGGTATGCTGCTATTTGGTTTGCTCTGTGTTTAGGGTTTGCTCTTCTGGTATTGTTATTTTTCCCTCCTCTGGTATTGTTATTTTTCCCTCCACACTTAGATCACAGAGAGATTGTTTGATAGGTTTTTGTTAATGCAAATGTAATTGCTGTATTATCAAAAAGAAAGCAGGGTGACTGTAACTCTCTTGCACATATCTTGTAACAATTGAATATGTTGTAATAATTAAATTAAATATATATAATTAAATATCTATAAATATCTACTGTATCTACTCTAAATATCTGTAAATATCTACTTACTGAACAAGTTCTGTTTCTGCACCAAAGTAAATTTAAACTAAAAACTAAATCACCTACAGAATAGTCTGCAAATGGGCTAGAGAGATTTGTGTGATGGTTTTAATAAAGTACACTTCTAGAATTAAAACCCACTGGTAACAAACGTAAATTTTGCAACAAATGTGCAATCCCAGACTTTATTAATGAATGAGTTACACTGGTGTGTCATCTTAATTTGTTACAGATGTATTCATGTTCTTTGAAAGTACCAGTGGAAATTGTCATAAATTCATTTGCTGTTCACATTAATGACTGCTAGCCCTTATTCTTCCTCAGTGGT